GCCTGTACCGTAATAGAAGATCTGGACCAGAATTAAGCTCGAGTGATTAGGATCTGGCTCTTTTTATTACACTTAAGAGACTGACCAAAATCTCCCCATAGATGTTCTCAGGGAACTTGGTCCTCAAAAGCTGTGAACAAGCCCTGTTTATGTCCATGGAGTAGATAAGAACTCTGAAGCCATGGTCTCGGTGACTCTGCTGGAATAGTCTAAAGCCCCAAGCTGCTTACCTGGAGGCTCAATCCCCAGGGACCCACCACAGTTTTTTGCTCAGTTATGCTTAGTGCCCTAGTTGTGATGGGCATTGTTTGTTTTGGGTATCAGTCTGGCTGTCAGCACCCAAATAGACTGTTTTCTTCTTGAAGCTGGAAGGCTAATATGGAATACAATGGAGGATGCAACTGAATGCACACAAGTTGTATCAGTGAATAGAGTGGCACCCAGTTACCTTAGAAAGAAGGTTTTCTTGGCAAGGAGGTAGAAGAGGTCCCTGATGATGAATTCATCAATAAAAAGAATTTTCATACATATACACAGACATCCCCACATATGTGTATATGTGATATTACAACATTACATTGTCTCATTAGATGCTTATCACCATCTGGAATTGGAGAAGACTTTGAATTGATCCCATTTTGGAACTCAGAGAGAATTTAGAAGTCCATGATTTGCCTAAACTCACCTAGACGATAAGAAGATCCAAGAACTGTTTTCAGCTTTCCCATGCCTCTGCTTTTGTTTGATGTACAACTGTATGAGTTGAGGGGCTGGTACCCGGGTCATAGCATTTAGTAGACCTCTCTTTGAGGATGCCATTGCTATGATGTTGCACCTTTTACCCGATTGATAGCTCATACATAGCATTATAATACTGAACATTTATGAGTGAGGCTTAGAAATCTAGTGTGTTTGCAGTGTCTAAAGTGGCTGGCTACCTCCTCGACTGAGGGTACTGTGAGGAGGTACAGTTTCAGATAACTTGGATAAGATGTTTAAAGCTTGTATAGTATGGTGTTTGTAACTGAGTTAAGACATAGTAGCAACCACCTTCTCATTTAGTTAATAATACAATATGTGCACAGTGATACTTTAAGAATTATTCTAAGTTCCCAAGAACTATGAAGTGATTTATTTCAGGACCTTATGCTTGTATTGAAGATGGATGAGCATATCAAACCACCAGTAAGTTAGGGCAGCCAAACAGTGGCAGGGGTGAGGTCCAGGCAACATAGCCAGTGGAGAGATCGATCGTGCACATTGAAATAATTTTGGAGGACTTTTTAGGTTTTGCTGTGGATTTGAAATGTAGAGAATGATGGCAGCTTTCTCGGTGGTTGGTTAAGAATAAACAAAAATGGTGGGCCCAGAGACCCAGACACGCCCATTTTAAAGACCAAGACTTCCTGTAAGACCTTACAAGACCCATCCTACTGGGTAGACATGAGTTTATTGTAAGAATAAAATATTGATATCAAAACATTGATCTGGGGTAGGGGAAATGATTAAGATGATAAAGTATTTGCCATGCAACTATGAAAACCAGAGTTTTGACCCTCCCCACCCCAGCATCTACATAAAAACTGGGTGAATTTGACTGCTTATAACTCCAGCTCTTGGGAAGCAGAGGGACATGATTCTGAGGCCAAGCTCACCAGCTACACCAGCTGAATCATCAAGTGCCAGGTTGAGTGAGAGATCCTGCTCCAGAAAATAGAGTGGAGAGTGACTGAGGAAGATTGTTAACCTCTGGCTTCCAGATGTGCATGCACTTTCACATGTGTGTGCCAGAACACATGCAAGTGCACACATAAACACACACACACACAGACAGAGAGAGAGAGAGAGAGAGGAGAGAGAGAGAGAGAGAGAGAGAGAGAGAGAGAGAGAGGAGAGAGAGAGAGAGAGAGAGAGAGAGAGAGAGAGAGAGAGAATCCAAAACTGATTGGGAGGACTGTGATTGGTACTAAATGCTTGAATGAATGGTTGATTCATCAATGAAAGAGGTACCATTAAAGCCTTTGATCAGGAGACACACTGAAAGGATACCAGCTTACCTTGTGATCATAAAGAATAAGGGGTAAGGACTACTGCTGATAAAGAGACAAGACATAACATGAGCACAGTGGCACATGTGCACTGAGCAGGGGACACACATGGAGGCCTGGATGGACTTGAGGTTCAGCACCTGAGAAATTCATGGGCTCTGTCCCATACCAGCACCTTCAGACTTTCTCTTAAACACTTGCTCCTTTGATCGGACAGTGTCACAGTTTTTGCTCTAGCCCTGAAGGAATGTGCCATCTATCACTTTTATTGCTCCCTCAAAATTGACTTGGATGAACTTTTCAAGTGTCTCCGACGCTAAGCCATTTGAGCCTCTTTTGGACATATTGAGCCGTTTGGTATCATTTTTTAAAAGTCTCACACACTTCGTCCTCTATCCCAATAGATTGTAAGTCCTCTCAGTGACATTCCTGTCAGGTGGCTTTGACACTTTGTCACTGGAGGTGGCTCATGATTGCTGTGGGCATATGGATGTCAAAGCTGACCCTGTATTTCACTTAATCTGTGACACAGAAGCAATATTGTCCTGGGGAAAGGCTCCTGCTGTTAACAAAATGAGGTTTAGCAAGACATAGCTGGAGAGGCTGTGCCAGGTGTCCTGGAGTTCACCCAAGGTGAATGCTTCACAAGAGGGCTTGCAGGGGGCAGCATGTAGAACTCCTATCTATGGTTTATTATAACACACAGACACAAAGCAAGGTCAGCAAAACAGAAACACAGGGTAAGCCTGGAAGTAACCAGCTACCGCCAGGTTCAGCTCCAAGTCCTGTAAACTGTGCTAAGTTCTTTCAGTAGTGAGCTGCAAAACACATATAAATATTATTTATCTGTCTCATTAAGACTCCTCGCCCAGGAATTTCACTGAGTCTTGTTTGCCTAAGTATCTTTTGCATAACACAGAACAGAATGCTAGACTCCCAGAAGGAAAGCAGGGGTTCAGCATGAGCAGTATTAGGCCAGGAGCCATTCAGATTGTTCTGGGAACTGAACAAAGTATCCCAAAGGGTAAGATGCCAGAGGCTAAGCCTGTGCCAATTTTGCAAGCACCTTTCCTAAGGATACAAGTCTCTCTAAGGGTGGTTAACTCTTCCCTGAAGAGGGAACAAAGATATTCTGACTATCGTTGATTGTTAAGAAGTTACTACAAAGCCAAAAGAGTCTTGTCATAATTCCAAATTAAGAAGCCATGTTTCCAGTTTCTCCCTTTCTACCGTTTATCACCTCTGTAGGAGGGGAGGGGAAAGAAGGTCAATATGGAAGAAGAGGAAAGGAAGGGGAACTACCACAATAACACTAAGGATGCTTGAGAAAGCCATAAGGAATCATTTTATATTTATCTAAATTTACATATAACACATATAAGTCTATGTATACATACAGTTTAAATGAAATTATGCCACTTAAGATGATAATGCTTCACCTAAGAGCCATAGAGAATCTAAAAAATTCCTCCTTAAGAGTTGTTGGTCGTGGGAGTCCAGAAGACTTCCTGAAACAATAGAGGCTGTTGCTATTGCCCTCAGCTGCTTCCCAGAAGTTGAAGGATAAGTCCCCATTGCTGAAGACACTGAGCACTTTGGATGCAAGACAAAGAGGTGTCGAGCTGGATCTGACCCCAAGCCCTCTCCCTGAGGATTAGTTTTTGCAGTACCCTAAGGTGCTACTGGGTCTGCCAAAGGAGCAGAACATCCAATGTTCTGGCAGCTGTGACACCGATGAACCAGAACAATGGTCAGCACAGCAAGATTGCCATAAAGGCACAATAGTGGCATGTCAATTGGACTTAAGGCCAATTGAACATGAGGGAAATCATGCCAGGTACTGGAAACCTAACCAATTACCTGAGTAACTGTTAGATAAGTAATCTCCTAGGAAAGCCTGCTATGGCCAATTTCCCAACCTAGGGGAATTCCTAACTGCAATCTGGACACTTATCCTTACATACACAGTCAAGTGTAGCTCTCATCTCCATCAAAGATAATTCTTTTTTCAATAGGTGAAGACCACTACAGAAAGTTATAACTAGTCACCCTGCAGAGAACGATTCACTGTTGGGTGCCCAGCCCCAGATGAAATATCTGCAACCCCCCCCCCCCCCATCCTTAAGGCTCAGGGAACATCTTGGAAGAGGGCTCAGGAAGATTGTAACAGCCAGAAGGCCAGGAAGTCTGCTGCAAGATTGAATCTTGTGTATTTGACAGGGAAACTTCACAGGAAGAGTGAAGTGGCTGAATCCAGGAGAAGACTCACTGAGCGTTACTGTGTACTTCCTTTGGAGGATTCCCTTTCCTGATGGGAGAGACAGTTTGCTTGTTGGTCTAAGGACATTCTTTGACAATTGCATTGTCTTTGTTACTGCTTGCTGGTTAAGAATGAAACGAAAAGCTGCTTATTTTGAGGACAAACATCCTGTAGGAAGGGTGACAGCCTTTGAACTTACTCTTCTAAGCTTGGGCGTCTCCCAGACCCTGGCATCTAGGCCCTGCCTTTGCTATTTAATTTCTCTTTTCCTGGGTTCTCAGAGCCTCAATGGTATGTAATCAGGTGAAACAATGCTTTTTATTTTAGTTTAAAATATGTAGTGTAATTTATAATATATACAGTTATGATATTTATGTATGTATACATATACTATATGTTCATACATATTTCTTAAGGGAATATCTCTTATTTTAGTGTGGCTAGCTTAGAGAAGTTTGTGGTGTGGGAGACACCACCGCCTCCTTTATCTCATGCTCCAGATGGCCCAGAAATAGAAAATGATTTCATGGCGGAAGGTGGAGAGGGAAGTTCTATGTGGTACTTGCAGTAATGGTTACTATAGCAATGGGTGACAATTCTGGCCTCTTTTACTTCGGTGAACCTCAGGAGGGCATGTATGGGCTGTAACGAAGGAGGTTTTAAATTCTCTGTCTCTTGTCCTACTGTCTCAGGGCTTCCAGCAAAAGTTCTCCTTCCACAGTAAAGAGATCGTGGCTATCAGCTGTTCTTGGTGCAAGCAGGCGGTAAGTGTGGGATGAAATATGCCCCGTGGGCTCACATATGACCATATCTGCCCATTCCAGCACTTGGGTTCCTGCCTGCGTGTGGAAAGATGATCACTGAACATTCAGTTTTTATCATATAACATCCTTAGAAGGAGAAATACTGAAAAATTATTGAACAAAAGCAAATATAAGTAGGGGGAAAACAGAAAAATTTTACTTCTTTCATTGAACTTGAAGCCCAGGATGAAAGACTGGAAACCCTCCCTGGTTCTCACCCTGGAGCTGGAATCTAGAGCTCCTTCCGCCTAGACCACCCACGTCTTCCCTGTCCACGAGACAGCTAAAGCCTCCTCATCATACCAAAGTACAACCCAGGGAGCCTTGAGTGGACTCTGCAACCCAGGGCCAGGCATCCTGGTTCTCCTGGTCCTGATGTGGGTGGCTTTGTTGTGGGTGTGTGAAGAGCGAGTGCCTTTCGCGTTGTCTTTTGGGTTTAGATGTTTCTGTAGCTCCCCATGCGCGCCCACTGGAATATGGCCCTTCCTTGTGTTTGACCGTGGACATTCATAAAGAACCCACACTAATTTCCCGTCGCCCATCTCATTCTCATCTACTCTTAAAAGCACTTGGCCCCACTGTGCAAAACATATGTGGCACTTGCTCATTTGCTTTCCTCTGTGGATGCTTTTTGCCTCACTCTAACCCAGCTGGCAAACTACGGCATCCAGGGCCAAATATGGCTGCCCCCTGTTTTTATACAATGGTTAATTGCAGCATAGCCATACCCAATTGTTTATGGGTTATCTGTAGCTCTGTTCATACCTCAGTGGTGAGTTGAGTGTTTCCCACACACCCATGCCTTTTCAGAAAGAATTTGTTAACCACCTCCCCCAGCCTTTCAGCCTATCTACTCTCTATCTTTCAAGATATTCTTGCTACATAGAATATGTAATCCCTTGTATTTGTAATCCTTCTGCCTCAGCCACCTGAATGCTTGGATTATATGATATGTGTGAACATATCAGCTTTCCATCTATTTTTTTTGGGTGACTGTGTAGATAAAAATATACCAGCCATTTATTGCAAAGGAAACTTGAAAAGAAGGTCTGTGTTGTGTTAGATTCAAGGTTCACAGGTCTACAAACAGCAGATTCAAAGCTAGCAAAGGGGCTGGAACAGATACAGTTTGAAACGATTGCAGTTGATATTTTGTGCGTTAAACTCTTTGCACTATAGCAAGTCTATAAGATTCAAACTAATAGTCTCACTAACGTAATTTCCCCAAGGCCTCCATTTGTCAAGAGCCTCCAGTGATTAGGTAGAGACCCACTGTTCTGGAAGGTTCGGTGTTTGTTGTGCCACCATCATCCCATGTTTTGTTTCCTTGGCATTTCCATGTTTTCCTACTTGTCACACATGTAACCTTTGTGCTTCTGTCTAAACACATGCTCACAGGTACCAGGCTATCCTATTATAGTGAAACTCTACATTCTAAGGTCAAGATCTCCTTCTGGGATTAAGATTGTCATGAAAAGTCCTAAGTTATTAAAACATTTAAAATGCCATATTCTATAATCTTTTAAAGATATGAAGAATGCCTATCTAAAATATATCTATGTACATCTAGAAAATCTTAACTAACATGACTACAAGCTTGACTATTATTGATTATCCATTAACAACCTATATACATTACATTTTTAAGTGAACTACACAATCACAATACCTTAATCAAGATCAGAAATACATATAACAAAATTGACCTTAAATTTAAATCACTAAAGCAAAATCTATATCAATGCAAATTATTCATATCTCTATCATATCCCCCTTTAAATGTAAAAGAACATTTATAAACAATATTTGGGAATATGGGCGCAGTTATTTCTCTCCAAACTGCTTCCTGCTGAATGGGGGCGTCTTTAATTAGGTCTTTCATGGTATAACCTGTGTTGACATCTTAATCCCTAATGCTTCCCATGCTGCTAGCCTTCCTGACCAGGAAAGAGCCTGCTGCTGGGCGAGCATCAAGGCAAGTCTGTTCTGATAGACTGATGGTCCTTGAGCCCAGATGAGATGTCTTGTTCAGGGTCCATTTATTGAAGCCTTAATCTGACTTTACAGTGAGCACCCGTATTCTTCTCATTAATCTGTCATCTAACCGATTCACTATAGAGACTTACTTTCCACTTAACCATTGCGGCAGAACTTTGGCCAATTTCACACATTTTTAATATCCCAGAAAGTGTGGAAATCGGTTTTGCAAGGTCTTATATGCAAAATATACCCACAAAAATTACAGTATTGATCTACTGTAATAGTACAAGTAATTTCTTCCAGGAAATTTGATGTCAGATAACTAAACAAATAACTGATCCCTCTTAATGTAGAAGGAAAACCTTGGGTGAGGGAGCTAGGCTTCCTGTGTCTTGGCTCCAGCATTTAAAGGCTATACATTCCTGAGTGCACCTGTTAGTATCCAACTTGGAGATGACTCAAGTGTAAGTTGAAAGAGTTGCTTAAACAGTGTTTGAGAAAGGCAATGGGCATGCATTGAGGTTTAATCTGAATTGCTAAAAAACAATCAATTTTGAAAGGTTCGAATGATATTTTTCTGGTGTGGCATTTCTCTGGTTTAGCTTGTTTGTGAATCACAAATGATGGGTGGCATGGGAAGTTATTAATTATTTAATCAGTATTTTATCCATGATTGATGTTAATTAACTACTGGACCACAGGAAATCTTGACAATATGCAGAAGTCAAAACAAAGTCTTTGTGATTGTGTGGAATAAAATTAGGGTAGCTGTGTTTGCCAGTTTTCCTCAGACAGTCCTAATTGATGTCTGTTTTTCCGACACTGTTATTATCAGTGCTTTCTTTTACTTATTATGTACACAGTGTTCTGTCTGCATGTATGCCTGCAGGCCAGAAGAAGGCCCAGATCTCACAATATTTGATTGTGAGCCACCATGTGGTCGCTGGAAATTGAACTCAGGACCTCTGGAAGAGTAGCCAGTGCTCTTAACCTCCAAGCCATCTCTCCAGCCCTTCTTTTACTCTTAAATAGCTCCAGTTCAGTTGAAATGTAAATTGTGTGTTTATTACAATAAGCGTAATTCAAGATCAAGCTAATTTGAATAAAAAAATCACTGTCATTAGGACCTAAGTCCTTTAATTATTGCTTAAGCTGATTTTGATGTTCATTAGAAATGAAATATCCCCCCACACGGCTATCAGAAGGTGACTGAAAATATGGTTAGACTGAGGTGGCAATGCCAGCCTCACAACCGAGTGGTGAGTTCAGCCCCTCACACTGGGGGGTTGTGTGTTATTATTACTAGTTCACGTTTCCTTCCTTCCTACAGCAAACAAGTTCCTCAGGCTTGCCGAGTGTAATAGGGCCTCTGTATTTTTAAGGGCTTTAGATAAGCCCAGAAGTGATCTCTTTGTGTTTTGCTACCGCTGAGGTTAATAGCTTCCTAGAAGAGACCACTTGCTTCCTTCTTGGCTCCCTAGGCTTGAAAGATTACTTGGGAGTATCTACATCTATTGTAGAAACAGTCAGGACGGTGGGCATTATCTTCCAACTGTCTTCATTTTCTCCTCTATATTATATAATAAAAACGGTTGTGTGTAATTAAGGTTAGTAGAGCCCTTCAAGGCTCAGCATCTTTATATAAATAATCCATTTAACAGTGAGAATGTCTTAGCAGGCTTCACATCCTGCTAGGTTCCCGTTTTCAACTGTTATGTCTGTGCTGAAGTGCCAGAGCGATTAGATGGTTGAATGCTGATGCGGTCATGTGTTCCTTCATATTTGTGTGTGTGTGTGTGTGTGTGTGTGCTCGTGTGTGTTTGTGAGTGTAACCATCCCTTCCTGCTGTGACTTACCTCTTACTCGGAATTACTCATTAGCCTGTTTTTCTCTTCAGTTTCACAATAAGGTGACCTGCTTCATGCTGCATCACATCGAGGAACCCTGCTCCCTGGGGGCCCACGCTGCTGTTATTGTCCCTCCCACCTGGATCATTAAGGTGAAGAAACCTCAGGTAACTGCAGGATCCTGGTGCTGCTGGCCTAGAGCAGAGAAAAATTAACCGCTGTGATTTGCTTTTATCCCTCAATAGTCTTCCGGCTCCTATAACCTCCACAGATTCATCCCTGTGGTCTGGTGCTTAGCTACTAAGTTCATCTCACTGGCCCATCACTTGACCTCATTGGGCTCTCTCATGGAACCAGACTCCCATCCTCACGAAAAGCCAGTTTCAGAGTAAGGGTGTGTCCTCCTCATCCACGTGTAAAAATGCTCTATGCAGGCAGGTCTCCTGAGTTCCATTGAGTCCCAGTAAAGGAATAGTGGGTTCTTACACACTCTCTTTCCCTCCAAGCATGAGAGGAGTCCACGGAGAGCAAGGTTGGCAGGTGTTATAGTTTGGTTAAGATTTCTACCACTCTACAGGGCAGACTGTGAGTCATAACCTCCATTACATACAGGGTCTGCTTAGAGAGCCACCGTGGTTTCTTCAGGTGAATTGAATCTGCTATTTTAGTGCCTAATCCCATCCTGTGCTCTTAGTGGCTTTCCTGTTTAAGCCAATCTCTTCTTATTCATCTGGGGGACTTTCCTGGGGATGGAGGGATTATCCTTGTAGGGATTTTCCTTCTGTTTAAAAGGTGGGTGGGATTTAGAGCGGTTGTCGAGAAAGCCAGTGGCAGGCAAGACTGTGTACCAAATTATATTGCTGGGCCTGTGAGCTGAGTTGGATCATACTAGGTCTGCTGAGGCATGTAGGAGGAAGCGTCTAAAATAGCAGGCCACTCTTGGTTAAGGATGATTATATGGCTGAATTCCCATTCCAGAGTCCACAGTAACCTTTTCACTATATTTGTGTTTCACTAGGAAGTACAATCTTTGTGGAGCTAGATCTCAGCATATTCATCTTCAGACATCCTAGAACATGGCCAATTAGATGCTTCCTTCATTGAGACTTTCTTCTTAACCTTTTGGAGTTTAAAGCCTGTGAGAGAGGAACATTAGGATGTGAATACGGATGTATGACTACACACACGTACAGACAGATAAAGTGGAAAGTCAGTTAGATGATGGATAGACAGACAGATGGTAGACCTTCCCGTAGTTGGACAGTCATCCTGCTCAGTTATTCCCCCCCCCCCATCTTTCTTCCCCAAGCCTCTTCTCAATGTCTCTGAGGGATTTTCCGATATCTTTTTGTCTCCATGATGTTAGCAACTTGCCTCTAAGGAGCTGCACTCTGCACTCTACGGATCTGTCAGTCATAATCTGATCACGAACTCAAGCTCGACTTTTAACCCCCGATTTTATAGCTGTGGAATTCAGCCTTCTTCTAACTGTAGTAACGGAACCGTGCTAACAGTACTATCCCTACCTGGCAGGGTTTTCTTTTCTGGTTGTTTTCCTACACACTTTGGCTGGGTCTATTTTCTACAACACCATTCTTGCCCTATCACTTCTTCTCTGTAAGGAAGCACACTGCTTCTGATAAAGTCTGCATGTGTCAAGAATCTGTCCACCATCAGGCCCAAGCCACATCCAGCTTTTTCTGCAAGTTGGACTTCCTCTCCCAGAACCTACAAATTACATTCTAGATACATTTATATCTCCCCTAGGGAGCATAAACTCATAGGATCGAGTTGGGACACTGTAGTCTTTGAAGGGAGGATTGTACTTAGTCTTGTAGTTTAATTCTCAGTGCATAATGAGTAATATACACATATTGTCCCTGTACAAAAGAAACTGCAGATTAAAAAAAATGGCTCCTTTCACTAACGTACAAAATTGTAGATACCTCTCCTAGCTTTTCCATCACAAAGCCATAGTTTCACTCCTGGTTTACATGCATAGAAATGCACCATTAGAATAGATAGAGAACCGTAGTGTGCCCAGGGCTGAGGGTCGTTATTGAGTGATGCCGTGCTACAAAGAATTCTTTAGAACTTGCTTAGTTAAAAAAAAATGGCTCTTGGGTAGAATTCTCTAGTAGTGCACATCGTCCTAAGTCATTTTAAGCTGTTCCCACTCAGCAGACTTTTCCTGGTTGGTTCATATCCTTACTGATAGCTGCTACATCGTTTCTAATGTCCTGTTTGCAAACAGTGCTCTGCCAACCTCTCTACTCCCCATGAGGTTTTCTTTTTCTTGCTAGCTTTCCTTCTTTACTGTCTTATTATGATGGGATGAGCTTTTATTGCTGGAGTACCATGAAATGGAATCACAAGCTTTTTTCAGTGACTAACGCAATCCCTCAGACTTGCTTAAACTGTTTCCTTGGGTAGATTATGAAGATCAACCAGCACACATGATTTGATGTTACTTGGAGCTCTTGAGACCTGCTCCTCAACTTTGGGGACGAGTTTTCTTTGTTTTTTTGCTGTTGTTAGAGCCACCTTTATTCCAGTGGGGCACCTGGAGCAGAAGGTGAGCATCTGTTAAGTAAACAAAGCTCTGGCGTCTTCCTTCTGTGACCTGTCAGAATGTTGTCTGGTGTTTGTGGGAGACACTCCCTTTGTATAATGAAGTGCTATATCACTTTTAGACCTTTTAATATAAGCAATTATTTTTGACCTTTTAACCTGGAAAAAAAATCCCTCAAGGGCATTAAGAGCTAAAGTTTCATTTACAGTTAAATGATTCATCCATAAGGCGGTCTTAACTGCTCAGGAAGGAGTCGTAACTCTGATAACAGTCTGGTTGATGGGTTCACTTCCTGGCAAGGTGAGATGGTTCTGATACAGGGTCCAAGAAGACAAATGGCCTTTATTTTCTCTAAATTCTTTCACCAGGATAGGTATAAAATGCCTAGAAGGCAACTACTGTTGAGATTAAAAGGCCACAAAAACCAGTTTGAGATGTGTTGATCTTGTAAGGGAATCACTTAAACCACTAAGTTAGCTGCCCTGGCTAGAACAGGCATGCTTTGTTTTAAAATGTCAGAGAAGTGTGAAACGTTTGACTCTTTAATCCTACAGTAAGTTTCGGATATTGCCTCTGCATTCTCGCAAAGCAGGCTACTTTGTTGAATTCCCCAGCAGTAACCCAGACAGGGAAAGCTTTGCTGCAAATTAGCACAAATAGGTATCTTAACTTGTCATGGCTGTGGTACATTCCAAATCTTCCTTCCTAGCCATCCGTTTCTCTCAAGATGCTGCTGCCTTGTAAGTGAAGAGTTGTTAGACATTTGTACTCAGGCAGAAGGGAGCCACAGGAACAGTGAGGTGTGCTGGGAAATTCCAGAGTTCTTGCTATTGCTGTTTGACCATTCTTGATACTGTAAGCATCCTCAGATCTCACACAGACACTTGTGGGTGCTGTAAGTCAATCACTACATTTGTTTGTAAAGAAAGCCTCAGATGCATTGGTCTCGGAAGCACTTGCTACATCTATGTTGAAAAACTGTTTTGTGTGTCTGCTTCTTACTAGACTTGAGTTGCTTGCTTTCCCTGTTTTCAGATTTCTTCCCTCATTTCTAGATCTGTGTTTCCTAAATGTGCTTGACCATCAGAATCACCCAAGATGCTCTAAACTTTATGAAAAGTTTAAGAAAGTTGTGTGAGATCTTTGCCTGTTGCAGTAGAACTGCATCTTGGAATTTAATTGTTGAGGCCCTTAGTGTGTTCCTGCGAGTGACTGGTATTTTCATTTATTTGGTCTAGGCAGGAAATGAGGTAACACACCAAAGCAGTGGGGGAGACAAGCCATCATATCCTAGGCACGATTGTGCAAACCAGAAGAGGCTTAGTGAATAGTGTTGGTCATATGACTGTGATTGGGGTGTGGTTGTGCACTAAAAATTTGTGCTGGGTAATGAGGCTAACAGATGTGAGCAGATGCATATCATGGAATGGATACAAAACTAACTGCTTTACATATACCATTTCTTGTTTAAACTTTCCAACTGTACTATGAGGTAGGTGTTGTCATTTCATACCGAAACTAAGAGTCTGTTGTTTCAAACCTTCGCCTGACTTGGTACATCTCATCACAGGGAGCTGGCAGAGGATTCGTAGCCAGTCCATCAGGCTCATGGTCCTCCTGGTGCTCTACTTTGCTGGGGTCTCCTTAATGCCAGGTTTCAGTTACGAAGCCACATTTTCAGCATCATGCATGATAGTATCACTCAGGAAGCGTTTCATCTTTGCTTTGGCTTCACTTCAAGGAGATTAGTGGGGTTGCACAGGATCTTGGCTGAACATCCTTTACAAACTGTCTGAGCAGTGATAGAAATTGATGCTGGTTGAGGAGGGCTTGGAGCATCATTTGATGACACCCAGTAGAAAAGCTTCTTCCACAGCCTCCACTTTTCCAGGCTCCAGCTTATTCCTTCTACATAAACTGAAATTGATTAAAATATGGCATCGGCCTTTAAAATGAAAAAGAGACAAGAATGTGATAAAAGGTGTCTTTAGCTGCGGAATTTAGAATCCACAAGATCTGTTTGCAAGGGAAGTGTAGTCAACAATGAATAGTGAGGAAAGCTCCAGAATCAGGAACACCCAGTTTCTTGAATCTCTTTTCTGGAGAGTCTCTGAGGTCCTGAAGACATTTTCCTTTGTTGGAAGAAGAAAACCTGGGGATACATAGTGGTTCTTCAAAAATTTCCTCAGCCTTGGTGATCATGGGCTTCCTTTCTCCTCCCTCCCTTCTCTCATCCCCTCCCTCCCTCCCTCTTTACTTCCTTCCTTTCTTCCTTCTTCCTCCTTCTCCTCCCTTCCTTTCTACCTTCCTCCCTTTCCTTCTTTTTTTCTCGCTTCTCTATCTAAGCAAATGTGAAATAAACACAAGCTCATTTGACTCCTATTGAATTTGATGCATTAATGTGTGTGTTGTAGACTAATGTTTAGTTTTGAATGCTCTAAGAAGAAAATACTTGCAGATTAGCTATTTAAATTTCTCCAAGCTAGTTGGAAAACTATTAACTGCTCAAATAATGTAAGTGTGTATTCTAATGTCAACTTCTAAGTTAAGAATTCTGCATTTCAGGCTCTCAACACTTGATCAAACATCTATTATATGGTCAGTACTCTCTTACCTTTGTGAAGATGCAGTCTAATTCATATTGAGTCCACTAGTTAAATCTGATTTATGTTTGGTCTTCAACCAGTAAGTGTGATTGTCCTGTAAGAGTTCCTCCTCCAAGTATTTGTAGAAAATGGTTAGCCAAAGTAATTGTGGATTGTGGCTCATAAAATCTTGAGAAAGAGAAAGTAAAATTAACGGTCACTGTATGTCAGCAACTTTGATTTGCTTCCATTAAAATGTTCAAGGCTACTTAGTGGAGAGAAGAAATTTAAATTAATGGATGTTGAGACGGAGAAAGAAAGAGTAATGCTCACTATTACACTATTATATCATGATAAGGTTTCTTCCCAGCATTTAAAATATTATGTATTAGTGTTGATAAGGCAGTTGGATTGTGAAGTTCTACTGGGATCAAGTCTTATTTTAATTATTTTATAACTATTACTAAAGCAGATCATAAAAAGTAAACAAAGAAGGAAAATGAAAAAAAGTGAAAAGAAAAAGAAAAGCATAAAAAAATGGCCTCCTTTTTTACATTTCCACATAGGTGATCTCCATACCAGGAGATGAACTTGAACTTGGTTGGGCGGGAGACGGACCTGGTTGGGCGGGAGACTGGAGCCCCTCAGAGAATTTGGGATTCTTCCATTTTTACTGGGAGGGTTGGCAGGTATACCATGTGTTGTTATGTGAGTCCATCAGAGCCCCCGCGGCTCCAGCTCCCTGCCCCCTGCGGCGGGGAGTCAGTTGCTCACCCTGGAGCACTGGTTTTTGTCTGTGGCTTACCCATGAGCAGTGGCTTGGAAGTGTCAAAGCATGAGAAGCATGCCGTCAACAGCATGCGCTGCTGTCCTCTTCTACATGGTTCTGCATGGAGATGTGGGGGCTGCCTGCCTCTGAGTTTAGCCTGCTCCCTTCTTGCCCAACAGAACTCCCTGAAGGCTTCCAGCAGGAAGAAGAAAAGAACGAGCTTTAAAAGAAAAGCCAGTAAAAGAGGAACCGAGGTAAGTCTTTCAGAGAGGTGTAAGTCTGCAGAGGCTGCTTGGCCCTGAGGATCTGGCCCACACTTCTTCTTGAGGCATTGCCTTCTACACTCCCTTTGCCCTTTATTCCCTTCTACGTACATCAGAATCCCTCCTGTTCCAAATCCACCAACCTGTCCATCAATTAGTCAAATCTCACCCGCCATGTCAGAGTAAGAGCATCTGCCCCTGCTTGGAATGTCTTCCCCAAAACGATGGCGATGGTAAAGGTGGTGATGAGGCCTGACGCTTCCAGAGCTCTTAGAGAATGCAGAGTAAAATCCAAAGCCTAGCTCACTCTTTTGGAGTTAGTGATGGCGGGGGGTGCTTTCTTCCAGGTGATGTGGACACACTGCCATGAAGGTTCAGCCTTGTGACATAAGACTCAGGATCCCAGGGGTGCGCAGTGTTCTCTCTTCCCTTGCTTGTGGTTGCTTCCAAGCCGTGGGCATTTATCCTAATAGTGCTGCCTGCCTCTTCCAGCAGGAAAACAAAGGTCGTCCTTTTGTGATCAAGCCCATCTCCTCTCCTCTCATGAAGCCTTTGCTTGTGTTTGTGAACCCAAAGAGTGGGGGCAACCAGGTAAGTCATTTCTCGTGAGTTTAGCTTTGAATAATTGATATGTCAAAGACACAGACTCCAGGATGAAGTAAAATAGCACGGCAGCTTGTGCCAGGACCAGGTTCAAAACCCCGAGAGGCCTGCCGTCTACGGCCTTCCATCCACGGCCAGACCAGACTGACGTTTTCCTTATAGATATTCTAGAAGAATCCTTTCAGAGTTTCTTTTAGTTACTAGGTTTCAGAGAAAAGCAAAGAAGGGCTTCTTCATGTTCAGTGTGAGAGCCAGTGGAAGAACTGACTTCTCCCTATGTGGATATCTTCTAAGGTTTCATAATCAGCAATACATTTACCAACTTGTCTTTATTTCTTCCTATTACAATTGAACCGGACTCCTGTGTCCCTGTCCTCAGTGAAAGGAATAACCAGAGGTCATTTGTCACAACAACTGTAAACAAGTACCGTAAGGCCAGAGGAATAATGGTTTCTAAGGACTTCATTATTCCTTCCCCTCTCTGCCCACTTCTTTCGGGATAGCTTAAGATCGACCCCATTTAAGAGTACAAAGACATCCTTACAGAAGTTAATGGCATTCCGACGTCAACCTTGCTCTGTAAAAGCATGGTTTTCTCTATAATTCAGTCCTTTTATCTTTTTACCCATTTTTCTTCCTGCTCTCTGGGGCTTCTTATTAAGACTCTTCTGTGGGCTTTGATTTTCTGTTATTTTCCTGGGAATCTGGATGTGAAAATATTTTTTTTCTAACCAGTAAGTGTACACTTTACACTTCAAGACAAGACTTTGTGAAGGTTCAGCATCAACAAATAGAGATTTGAGACTCTTTAATCGCTCAAATAAGGAAAAATGTCATTTTGTCATCAGTTTTGATTGACTCCTTCAAGTGATGTCATTGCTTCTAAGATAATGGATGTTTCCCAGGATAAACTGACTACAGTGGGACTTGCTGTGTGAGAGCCTATGGTTTAAAAGGAACTCCCGTCTCCTCCTTCAAAGTTTCCAGTACCCAGCAATATTAACAGTCTATCTCAGTCCTATGGAGAACAGATGTATCACAAGAAACAATTTATCTTCTGTAACCTTTTTCGTGTCTGTTAGTGATGATGTCCTTCCTATTCCAATGATGTGGCGGTACAGTAATCAGTAGAAAAGGACCAGGTGCTGGGTTCCTTAGGTCTGGTGTTCTGTTGGCCCTGAAACACGCCCACTTAGGGCTGACTTCCTTTAGCCTAACAAGGGTGAGTGATGCAGTTGAGAATCAAGAAATGGAGCGAAGCAGATGCAATTAGTTCCCATTTGGGTGTCCTGAGACCTACAGGCTAGTTAGCATCAGCTATATTTTATCAAGGATCTCAAGTATAGGATCTCAAGTAACACAAGCTGGGTTTGAGTGCTCTGTAGGGTCCAGAATGACCTTGGACTTCCTGATCCTGACATTGCAGCATATGCCACAGTGCCTGGTTACTGCAATGCTGCTGGGGACAGAACCCAAGAATGCATGTATGTTAGGCAAGCCCTCTGTCGCCTGAGCTGTATTCCCAGCCCCGAAGTGAATTCATGAATCAAGCTAAGAGACGCCCCACATTGGACACTCGGATGTTTTTTGTTTTGCCTGCCTTTTGAGACTGACAGACTATTTCAGATCCAACCCTTTCCCTGCTCCAGTCTCTGCAAGGTCATTAAGGACTACCAGACTAAAGAGGCTTAAGTGATTTTGGAGGGCATCTTTTTGTTAAGGACACAAAAGCGGCTATTGGGGGGAAATGAGTCATGTGACCTTTGTTGTGTGTTCCAAACTGAGCACACCAGACTGCCAAAGGGGCGGAGTTCCAGAGGGAAACAGTGACTTTGGCATGAGAAAGAAGTAGTGTCCTCGAAGGGGCTGAACTGGAAGAGGGGTGCTATGCTACACAGAGGAGGGAACACGAGAGGAGAACCCCCTCTTCCACCATGGGAAATTTCTGCTCATCCGTCAAGGCTCACCAGAGCCTGGCTAAGCCAGTTGTCAAAATCAGGCACCCACTCCATGGTGTTCTAAGACCCTGGGATTTACGTGTCCATCATGGACCGTCAGTAGTGTTCTCCGGGGGTGTCCTCTCGGGTCATAGGTGCCAGGATGCTAGGGAATCTTTGAATCCTAGATTTCTAGGTCACAGTGCGTAGCAAGCAAACGAATACAAATGACGCAGCCGACGCAGGGGGGGAATTCTGCGCTGTAATGACACTGGTGAGCGGGACATGCAGAAAAGGCTCCAGGAAGTGTGATGCTGGAGAGACCAGAACCAGCCCATGGAAAATGCTGTAAAACTTGGGTTCGTGCCATTGAAACTGGGCTTCAGATCTTTTGGTTTATGAGCAGAGAGGCGACATGGTGAAGTTTAGTGTGCAGAAACTTGCTCGGGGGCCTGCTACGGCTCAGGTGCCATCTCAGTACATCAGAGTGGCCTTGACAATTTTCATTTTCCACATGTTTTAGATGCTGTCTCTGTCTCTGCCTCTGCTTTAGAGGACAGAGCTCATGGTCTGGCCTGGGCTTCCTGTTGCAATAAGTGGGGAGGGAGTAGGCATATTCTGTTTTTTTTTTTCAGTTTACCAACTAATAATTCACTTATTTTACTCATCTGATTTAGGTAAAGAGCATTTTTTGACTCATTTTCTCTCTGAAGTGTTGGCTCCCAAACTTTTTAAGCTTACATTAGCCTTAAGTAAACAACTGGATGATGTCGCCATCTAGTGGCCTGAAAAAGAATTGCTCCCCTGTACTTCCTTAGGCATGAAAGAAAAAAAAGTCAATGTTTTGAAGGATAATATTAGGACTTATATTTGAAGGATTATATTATTATAAGCATGCACCAGGACTGTTTCTGTTAAACTACACATTTTTCTCACCCTTTCTTTTCAACATCACAATACTTATCCCTAGTTTTCCGGCGCCCTCAGGGTACACACAACACCGGTGTTTTGCAAAGGTTTGGACACTGGTTGTACTGTTGGTACCAAAAACATTTGAAGGGACGGAAACTGGGTTCAGGGACTAAAACATCAGCTTTGAATTACTGTCCCTGTGGGAGGGAGACTGCGGGCAGGAGACGGATTTACTCCAACACAGTCCCCTCCTCTGTGTGGGGAGTTCGGTGTCTCTTTTCGTGTTATTTCATATGCATGCACAGGGGCCCAGATGTTAACCACTGGAACAAATCTCCATAGTACTGAGAGTTGAGGTACTGAGACTCTGCTCATACTGGCCAGTGTGGAGTTCCACACACAGGTCAAATGTGTGGTGGAAACTTAATTCCTGGACCAGAGCTCTCAGGCTCTGACTGAACAGAGGATGGGGGTGGGGGGTAGCGGGTTGGGGGGATGGGGAGTTACGGGGGTAGCTGCTGGTGGACAGATTCATGCTGGCTGAATTCGTACCACTCTCTCTGAACCAGTGTTCCCACAGACAAGTTACCCCCTCCTAAGTCAGGGGTCAATCATACCAATATGGACAGGAGGGGCAGATAAAGAAACTGGCTTCAAATGAGAAATCTGACTCTATAAACTGTCTCCAAGATACTTGCATGCATTGTCTCAGATTTTTGAAGTGCTGGAAAAAATGTGATCTGGAGCTAAATAAAACTGTATTGCTTTCTACAAATTCAGGCTTCTGTGGGACATATGGGTTTGGAGAGAGGGCCGAGAGACAGTAAGTAGGTGAAGGGGACATGTCAAAATCCAGTCTCAAGATCGCCAGAGCAATCTCAACAGACGAGATTAAAATAACGGAATTGCGAGTCTGTTTAATGTCCCCCTTTCTGTGTTACACGATTGTTGGGAGCGTGAGCAGTGGGAAGCTAAGACATAAACCAAGCCTTCTGGTTCCTCTGATGGCCTAAAGCTTGCCTGTCGGTGGCTGCAGTGGTGATGTATCAGGGTGGCAGCCTGACTTTCCTTGGTAAAGTATCTCAGGAATCGTTTCCTACAAAGCGAAGTCCAGACACACAGGGCTTAGTCTATGGCTTCCTCCAGCTGTTTCATCTTGCACCGCAGCCTGCCTCTTGCCTCCTAAGACTGCCAGATGTAGTTTTTTTTTTTGTGGCACATCTTGCTTGTTTACACCTCTAGTGACTTCTCTTGGGACCGTCACCCTTCCTTTGCTCCTATGGAGACACTCCACTTGTCTTTCACAATCACACTCACACGGCACACTTAGGATGCCTTCATCTGACCTAACCTCGCATTTAGACATTGTCTCCCCGGGTAGCTGGGCTTCTCACTGTCACAGCATTTAACGGGTTCAGTGAATTCATACGTTTAGTGTTGGTTTCCTTCCAGTAGACTCTGTGCTCTTAAGTATAGACCCAAACACAGAACAGAGGCTAAATCCACAGTTGCTGATGGGAGTGGTGGCTTCCTTGGGGTTGTGGGTACTGGAAATCGTTATTCTTAAGCTCTTCTTCCCACTGATCCCTTTCCTCCAGCTTGCTTATTGCCTGGTCCAGGTGTTTCTGTCTTGATTATCTACATCATTGCCTACATGATGTGAACTGGGACTTAGTGATGCTGTAGGATGCTCCTGCAGTGCTCTGATGGAGGGCTGTGTGTTGTGGACTGGGCTGTTCTGAATAACTTCTCCATCATGATGAGATTTTGCCTTATGAATATCACATAGAACTTCCTTGTGCAGTCAGGGATCCCTGTCTGATCCATCTCTCCCTTCTCCCACATAAAGCTACCACACACCCAAGAGTGGATGGTGGAGCTGTGGATGGATCTCGTTCATATCTGTAATAACCCGCCTGCTTTCCAAGAAGCTGCATTTTCCTCCAGCCGAAAGGGAAAGGGTAACTTTCTTCAGCCCCCTCCCAGGAGTACCCTAGTCACATAACAGCGGCAGAGGTCAGTGCTCAGCAAGTTGTTACACCCAGGAGTTGAACTGGAATCCACAAGCGCTGCTTCTCTTCCATTCAAGAAAACCAGACTCCTGCGTACAAGTTGCAGGCCTTGGTGTTTGGCATGCAGGGTGTGCCTGGTCTTGCTAGTGGCAGTTGTTTAAATGACTGAGTAGATGTCATCTCAACACTGAGAAAGACGCACATTACCCTTTTCGGGTGAATCCCTTTTGTGTGACCATTCGGTTCTATTTAATAAGCAGTGGTAAAGGCAATCAAAGTCTCTCATTTAAATGTGGGCGTGTCTAGCTTTTATGAGCATCTAGCTTGAGCATCTAGCTTTTAAGTCCCACTCACTAGGATTGATTTAAAGAAGTGATTTCATTTAATTTTTTGTCATTTCTCTTCATGCCATATTTTGGAAATAAGTGTGTGTGTGTATGTGTGTGTGTGTATGTGTGTGTGTGTATGTGTGTGTGTGTGTGTGTGTGTGTGTGTGTGTGTGAGAGAGAGAGAGAGAGAGAGAGAGAGAGAGAGAGAGAGAGAGAGAGAGAGAGAGAGGAGAGAGAGTCCAAGCCTGGTGTCTTCCTCAGTCACTTTTCTTTGGTGGCGGGGCCTCTTACTGAACTTGGCTGGGCTGGTTGACCAGCAAGCTCCTGGACTATGCCTGTCTCCACCTCTCTTGGTGTTGTGGTCTAAGTGAGTGCCTGGCTTTTTAAGTGGATGCTGGAGATCAGTATTCAACTTCTTCCCCCTTCCATAGAAAGTACTTTGTCTATTGTCCTGCCCAACATGATTCTTTAACAGAAGAAACGTCTATTCATGCCTGGAGGTAGCCAAACACTGTTGCGTGGGTTACTCCTGCGAAGTCCAGGGATGCTGGTCCAGTAGACTGATCTGAGAATAGACTCTTTGGGGCATAGGAGGAACAACTTGCCAGGCTTTGTAGGCATTCCTCTCTTGAAGAATACATTAAGGTAATTAGGTGTTCCAGTGAACACAGATTTAAAATGAGCAGAAGTGAAACCATGCAGCCAATTGATTCTTTTATAGAAATTTTAGGTTAAGCAAAATAACTTCCCTGTGCTTTGTATTTTCCTTCCTTGAAAGCTGTTAATTATGTCATATTGTGTGCATAATAGAAGCAGCTGAAAGTGAGACCTGCAGAGGTGCGAAAGCATTATTAACATCGGCCACTCATGCTGCCTTAGGAATCAAAACCAGAAAAATTGACTTTGTATCCAGTTAGTGGGATGTGTTCTGTAAATTAGTTGGTCATTAAAGCGATGCTTATTTACCTATTTACCACGCAGTGTGATCAAAATAACCCTGAGTGTACTTGGTAGCCAGGTCCAGCATGGAAAGGAAGAACATGGCGTCCATGGTGCTGGTGTGATGTCCCGAAATCCATGTTTGTGTTTGATAGGGAACGGAATATATATCATTTGGTGAGGCCGAAGGAGGTGTTCTGATGATTAAGAGTGAAATGTTATTCCCCAAATTACAGCAAGCATGTGATAAGGCAGGACTTTAAGATTACAGCTTTGGGAGAATCCGAGGAACAAAAGAGCTGCATTGACTCCCTTGCCGACTGCCACTGTTGTGAGGGAATTGTGAACCACAGAGTCACCCCTTGCCAGCTAGTGTACTTGAACAAATGGATTAACAAAGAGCAGAGAAGAAAGGGGGCAGCGTGTGCCCAGGTCTCTCTTGTGCCACCTGCTGTGCTAGACGCAGAGCCATCAGCACCTCAGTGGACTCCCTAATCACCCTGGAGAGGAGGCCTCCCTTCCTTCTCAGCTGCATTCTGCACCTGTGCCCGATTCTGGGCGCTTTCCGGCACACAGGGCGGACCCTTAGCTCTCGCCCCACCCGCTCAAGCAAATACTATTGCTGTGATTGGTAAGAACGAGTTATTCTGCTCAGGTTTAAAGCTCTGTTGACGCCGGTTAATTCAAAAGAGATCATTTGTTTCTTTCTTTCCTTCAGTCCACTCTAAGAATCATCTGCACTACCTTCGGTCTGTCCCCAGTGGTCGCCTCTGTGACTATCACGGTTTCTTAAACCCTCCCAGGTGACTGAGGAGAGTTAGGAGTGAGCTGACAGACACATGTAGCGCAGAAAGAGACAAAATAGGTTATGACTGTATTTGTTGATTAATAACAGCCCATGTCATTTCACATTAAACTTTAATGTTTAGATTACTGTTGTCCACATGAAATATGAATTATGGGTAATATTAGCTAGTTATGAATTTATTGAAATAATTTTTCTCTGTGAAGCTAAAAAACAAATGAAAGCATATATATATACACACACAAAAGGTTAGTTATATATATTATACATATAATTTTTATTTTTGATACAAGCTGTTACTGTGTAATCCAAACTGGATTTGAATTCATAATCCTTGTCTCCATTAAATGATATCTTAAATACTAAAATTATGGGCCTGTGTCACCATGCCAGGCACACAGAAAATGTTCATGTGAAATATTGCACTTTCATTTCTTCTGTTAAATGACATAGGCTAGCTGTTTTCCTGTATGGGCTTTTGCCATTGCACTGTGATACCAAAGTCTTAATACTGATCACTAAGCACACATCACATGTTACTGCAATCAAACCATGTAGAAAGTGGGCACTCTCCACTCCATGTTAAAGAGAGCACATGATTGAATGGAATTATCCACATTGGACAATCATCTCATCTGGACATACGTCCTGTGTGTACCTACAGTCAAAGCTCATGACTTTAACTACTGTTCCATTATTTCAAGGATTTAGCTTAGCTTTGCTGTGTGTGTGTGTGTGTGTGTGTCTATGTGTGTCTGCCAAGGCTACAGGCACCAGATCCTCTTTGAGGGGCTTGAGTTACAGACAGTTGTGAGCTGCCTAGTGCGTTCTAGGAACAGAATGGAGGACCTCTGCAAGAACAGTATGCACAATAAGCCCTGGGCTGTATCTCCAGAGCCCTTAAGAGAGAATGATTAGGTTTTATTTTCTAGTTTGGGAAATTTTGTTTTCTATGTATGTTATGTTATGTTTATATGTACGTATGTATGCATATATGGATGTATGTATTTACTTATTTATTCATTTCTTTATAGGGAACCAAAGTCCTCCAAATGTTCATGTGGTACCTGAATCCACGGCAAGTCTTCGATCTTTCTCAGGAAGGGCCAAAAGATGCGTAAGTATGGAATCCCTCCCTACCATGTTCCTTCTGAGTTTTGGGCTAGTGAGGACCGTAGGATTGGGGGTCAAGGTTATTTATTATCTCATGGTCTACTGAAGTTTTTCTGTTCACCTCGTAGCAACTTTCTGGCATGCATTTTGCTTTGCTTGAAATTTCCTGATGCCCCAGCCACCCACCCATCCACCGTCACTGCATTTATTTTCATCAAACCACTGTCTGATTAATTGTTGGGTCTGCACTTGCTTCTCTAGTGGTTGCTGCTTGTGTATGTAGGGCTAAAACTTATTCTCAGCAAGTCAGGGAATAAGGAAGTGCTCCTTGCCCTTCTGTTTATCCGTGTCCATTTTGGAGATGCATTTCAACAGAAATGTAAGTTTATAACCAAGGGTTCAACATATGTAAGAATAAACATTTGATCTGGAAAGATTGTGTGTGTATGAATGCATCCAGATTGTGTATGTGGGGGTAATGGAGAGAGAAGAGGAAAGAAGAGAGAGGAGAAGAAAAGATGGATGGATAAATGGATGGATGGATGGATGGATGGAGGGATAGGAAGTATTGAGATTAACCAGATGTAGCTTTGAATGCCTCAGTGCAGTGGGACAGGCATTTTAATATCTCTTCCACCCCTTTCTATATTTATGTGTTTAGTTAGAAGTGTTGAAAAATTAGGTCTAGGTGTACATGACCCAGCATGGCGGGAAAGAGTAGCCACATTGCTGATGCTATTTGCTTCCCTGTCCTAGACCCGTTCCGTTACTAAGGCAGTTGTGGCGACATGAGATGGTGCTTACTCCTATAAATAGTGATGGCAGAGTAAAAGAGTTGTCAATACGGATGGTTTCTGGAAGATATTGTTCCTAATCAGAATGGGGAAATTAAATACTCTAAATTTGTAAGAAAATAAGTATTATGGAACATGTTTCTATTATTCCATTACTCTGCATTTCTGCACCACCAAGGTCTGCATAAGACTTCTTGATCTTAATGTTTGTTAAAGAACTGCTTCTTGACTTTAAAGTAAATATCTGCTTCTCTGGCTTGTGGTCTTTTGGATTTTATATTTATTAAGATTTTTTTTATCACTTAAATTGTATTTTAAGTAGATGTTTCATAAGGATCAGAGCAGAACAAGAAATCTTTTCAGGAAAATCCACACTATTACATATGAGTAGACGGTGTTTCCCAAAGCAGAGCTGCCCACACCTGCCTTCTGCAGGAGGCTTCGCAAGGCTGAATGACTGTTTGTTGAGATTCAACCAGAAAGATAAATGATTTGGCCCCAAGCGGGCACATTCAAAGTAAAGACAAGCCCATCGATGTCTCCCACGAAGGGCTGGCAGGGAGGAAAAGGCTGAGTGAGTGGGTGGCTAAGGTAGTGACGACAGCAGCGAGCCTGCTCCATCTTCTTGAAAGTATCTAGAATTAAGAGAGGAAAGTGTGGATTCGAAAGATAAATAGACCCAAGAAAAGCTAATCAAAATTAAATAAGGAGGAAAGACATAAAGACTACTGGTTATCAGTTAATTGGGTTTTTCTCTGAGAAGGAAGAGTGATAGGAAGTGAAAAAGAAGAAAGGAAGTAAAAAAAAACTGGTTAGGAAGATCATGTGGGTTGGCAGGATGGGACGGTGGAGAATTATGGGAAGACGGGAGGACTCCAGCTCCCATCCCCATGTTGGTCCCAGAACACCAGGGTCTGCTTCTGACCTAATGTGGATGTTGGGTTGTCGTGGTTCTGAGGGATGGGTAGCTCACACATGTCCTCGGTGGGTAGTGCCCATTCATTTTTGCCCTGTGCTACCTCTCTGCAGAGAACCATGGGCTTGCTCACTCTGTCCTCCGTTTCCCCTCCAGGCTGGAGCTGTACAGGAAGGTACCAAATCTGCGAATTCTGGCCTGCGGTGGGGATGGAACGGTAGGTCCTTGACAGAGAATCCATTCGCTCCCTCACCCATCTGTCTTCCTGACGGGATTTCCTGCGGGAGACCTCTCTCTTCAGCCCAAGTCTTTCCCGTGCCCCCGTGTGGATTCCTGTCTGTCTGATGAGAGTCATAACCCCTGAGGTTGAGAAGGGTTTAGCTGTCACGGGGCCACGCTCAGCCTTCTGCAGTCCACTCCCTCCCCTGCACTACCCCATCTTCTGTTGCAGGGTAAGGACATTGCCATCCCTGGGGTAAAAGATTTTCACAGAAGACTAATTTCTTTTCCAAATACAAGCTGGCATTTTTCCATTTCTCCTTTCACAACTGTGGTTTATTAATCAATTTGTTTTTAAGCCAGTATGTAAAAACAAGAACACCACCACCAGCCCTTGGTCACCGTTGGTCATTTCTGAGAGCAGTTTCTTATAAGGTCAAATGCTGCCTCATCATGGTTTTGAGTAGCTTTCCCCACAGACCTGTTCTCTATTCGAATGTCTTTCGAGAAACGTTTACTGCAGCTGCCTTTTTAAAGTTGGGCTGCATTCCTGCAGTGGAGTTCTTTAGTTCCTGGTTCAGTCTGGAGCCTTTGTCAGATGGATCAATCAATCAATCAATCAAAAGGCAAATAAATAAATAAACGTAAAGTGTTGATAGACAAGACTCTCAGAAGCTGCTCAGTTCCTGCCTAATAATGTCACAGACTGATAGTAAAATGAGGAGCTATGATCATCCCCATGCAAGCAGAATATGGTCCTGCGGATCAAACTCAGGTCACCAGGCTTGTGTGTCAAGCGCTTTACTCACTGAGACGTCTGCCGGGACCACCCTGCCCTGCCCTTGATTGCTTGTCTTTTTTTTTTTTAATTTATTTTTAATTTGGATCTTTAAACACTTAGTTTTTAATTTTGCTGTGAATTTTCAGTTAAAACATTTCTGTGTTTTGTTTGTTTATATTTCTTTACGGTCCAATGAATGAGATGGCTCAGCAGGGAAAGGTGCTTGCTGCCAAGCCTGGTGACTTGAGTTTAGTTCCCAAAACTCTCAAAAGTGGGCCTCCATCTTTCACACGTACATCGGGGCACGTGCAAGGTGCACCTGTTCATTTGTGTTCTCTCGCTCCTCTCCCTGCCTTTCTCACAGACGCTCACACAAAACAGTAAACAAATAAAAATAAAGTTCTTTCATCTTTGTTGCTTCTCTCTGCCTTTTCTTGAGTTTCCTCCAAACAGCTGTTTTTAAATCTCTAGTCTAAACATTGGCTCATCCCAATTACTATGGCCACTTTTTTTGTGCTTTATTTTTACAGTAGGTGAGACTGTGGCTTGCTGGCAGCTCTTGGCGATGGCTTGTGACATCATCTGAGCATTGATGCTGAAGGCTTTTGGTTGCGCTTGTGCCTTGGAGAAACTCTTAGGCTGCTCCTCCCACCTCTGCAGTTACTTTTGTTGTTGGTTCCTGCATTCACCCTCAGAGTGTTGTCACAGTTCAAACACTAGAGGGCAGTCTAAGACCACGTTTCTTCTAACCCTCCTGGTACACATTTCAGCTTGAACCAAGTTATAACCTAAAAAGAGTAATTGACTCCCAAACCTCTCTGTAGACCTGAGCTTCGCCTAAACTGATCCACGGAAATTTGCCTGTCCTCACAGAGAGACCAGCATCAGGTCCTTGGTCGCCCATGCTGCAAAGCTGTTTCCTACTGTGAACCCACAGTTTGTAAAGACAGCACTGGGGTAGCACCAAGGTCCATGATGCTATGAGCCGCGAATGGTTGACATAGACTTATGACCTAAGACAACTAGAACCAGCTGGAGCTGTTGTTGGCCCAAATGGAAGTCTGATAGACGGGGGCCGTGTGTCACGGTTGGCACCAAGGTTGGTCTAGAGGCTCTTTTGCTAGCAAAGGCTTGGGAGTGGAAGCTTTTCGATCTTTCCCAGTGTCCTGGCTGGCACTGGGTTCCAAGGCTTCGTGCTAGACTAACTAATTTGGTCTATCCTCAGCAAACGGAATCTTACTCCCCACCAGGCTGGCCAAGATTGGAATAGCGTTGCTAACGTAGTTTCTTAGGTTTGGGTTGTCCTTAAGTCCCTGAGCTTAAAGGGTCACTGCAGTCTTAGGTGTGATGCTTATACCACAGCCAAAGGGGATGCAGGCCAAAATATGAGTCTTTCGTAGTGAGCCTCAGGATGTCTAGGCACCAGTGGTGCTGATGCAAAACTAGGGCTCCATCCGTGAGTACTGGCTTGGGAATGGACTGTGCTGCTTCAAGTCTGAGGTCAGAGTCTGGGCCTTGTCCACCAGGACTAATACAAACTGGGTCACCACTGAATCTTACAACCGCAGGGACCCATGAAATCTTCGGGCATCCCAGACCAGTTCTAAGATCGGCAGTGAGGCAGGCCAAGACTTGAGTCTGTCCCTCTGGAGCACTGGGAGGTTAGTTGGTGAGCGCTAGCCTGGTTGTGGGAATATTCATTTTTGCCTGGTATTAGAACCCATTGTCGGAAGCTGAATACTGGGCTCTAAGGCAAAGTCTATGCTAGCTTTCTTGCCCCGCCAGCAGGTTGAGTCTGGCTTCTACTGCCTGAGGTACAGAGCCGAGTTGAAGTGGAGGTGAACAGCTCCTCACTAGGGCAGACCCGCAGCTCACTCCCTGAGAACTGACCTAGAGCGGAAGTGGGGGGCTCTTTCTCTTACATCTGGCTCCGTTCTGGTGAGACTGATAGTGATACTGAGCTATAGCACACTGTTTTGGCTGACCGCATGGCCAAGAAGCCGCCCCTGTCCCCACATCCCAATGCAGAGATTGTAAAGTGTACGTTTCATGGGATTGGAGCTCCAGCTCGGGTCCTCATGCTGGTGCGGCAAGCACTGTACCTGCTGGGCCATCTTCCCAGCCCCTCGTTTGTCTTTATTTTGGGGGAAAGTATAGAATCGGTCTAAGTCCTACTCCCTTGAATGCTCATACTTGTCATGTCTCGTGTCTCCCCTTGGCCTCCGCCTCCGTGTATCTGGCAAAGGTGAAGGACAATCAGGACAGAGTGTGCGTCTGGGTACCTTTCTTCTGGATGCGGAGTCTGATGGTTCAGAATCGGAGGATGTTTTATGTACCGTCTTTGGTTTTCCCTTCCTCTCCCTAATCATGAGGTTTTATTCTTGAAGGTAGCAACAGAATCTCCTCTCATAGGCCGGGAGCCCTGGACACCGCACTGAGTGCATAGTACATCCTAGTGAACGAAACTGGAATGGGGTACGCCAGTGGTTCCTCTGCTCCATCAGGATGTTTGGTGGAATAGCCTAGTTGAGAAAATAGCATCTGCCCTTCTTCAAGATTTACAGTTATTAGCTTGTAAAATCCTTTATGTCGTGTTGCATAAAAGAAAACATATGTGCTTTAAGCATGTGCTGGTTAGTTTTTTTTTAATCAATTTGACACAAACCTAGACATATCTGGAAATAGGTTGAGAACATGCTTACATCAGAACGGTCTATAGACAAGTCTGCGAGATGTTGCCTTGATTAATGATTGATGTGGGAAGGCCCAGCCCGCTATGGGCGGTGGCACCCCTGAATCAGTGGTCCTGGGTTGTAGAAGAAAAAAGGCTGCACAAGCCAGCAAGCCCCCGGGAGCAAGCTAAGAAGCTTGCTGCCCTCTCTGAGTTCCTGTCTGTCATGGCGACTCTCAAGGATGGACTGTGATTGAGATGCACAAGCGAAATAAACCTTTTCCTTCCCCGAGTTGCTTTTGACCCTGGTGTCTTTCACAACAGAAGATGACAACATCATCCCATCTTTCCCTAATTGTATTTTGTGATAGATTTCCTCCCACAATGCCTGTTAACTCTGCAGTGGTTACAGGTCCTGTTGGGGATATGTTAGCGCAGAGTGAAAAGGTCATGGTCCCTTTCTTTCTACTCTAAGGGTCACAGCTGATGTCCAGAGCAGATGACAAAGAAGCAGAGAAAATTGTGGCAAATTTATTTAATCCAAGTTTTATTGACAAGGGGTACTTTAGTCTGAGGACTTAAAGATGTAGGAACAACGAATTGCTCCTCTGCTTAGATTTGCTGAAGACCAGTGGTCCTGGGCTGGAGGGGGATGCCCAGCAAGGATGCCTTTTCAGATCCTTCTTGGACTCTGTATCCTTCCCTCCTCCCAGGAGTGGGGCACGACCCCTTCTGCACATGGGTCTTCTGCTCTCCTGTCAGGTGAGGCAGATCAGAAATTTTGGCCGGCTCCTGGGCAGAAAGGCAGGGGAAGATTAGAGTTGTGTTTTTAAACTCCATCGATTGCTTTAGGACAAGGGCTTCTAGCTTTTGAGCCCCCTCGGTGAGGAGGAGTTCTCATTTCTGTGACTCACCCTGGGAAGAGTGAGGGAGCCACGGAGGAAAGTCAGAGCGAAGTCTTTGCTGTCTGCGTCTTTCATTTCAACACACCCAGCGTGCCACAGTGAGGCTGGGCTAGTATTTTCCAAGTTCCAACACTAGAATTCAATTTTATTAGTTTCCTATATTAAGAATTCTATCCAGATGACTCCTCTGGTACTAGATCTAGAATAATCTTCATCGTATCACCAACTCGTGGGCTATGTTTAATGCAAGGTCGAACTCATTGTGAGGTGGCCGCAGTTATCTTCCTTACCTTAGAGTCTCTGTCTTCCTCGGTGACTTCAGCTCCCCGCTCTCCTCTTTTCTCCTCTAAGTCTCAGGTACAGCTAGACAGAACTTGAGGGCGTGTCTGGGGATGTGGACTCAAGTTCTTTATTAAGTTATGTGCAGAGCCCACTCAGGGTTCCTAAGCTGCAGATCCTTCCTGACTGGGGCACCTCATATCCCACCCCGACTCTGTCCACCCCTCACCCATCCCTCTGTATCCACTGCTCCCCTGCATCCACCTCCTGCTGGTCCCCCCATCCTCACCCCTTTGTTGTGTTCTCTCCTAGGCAGGTACAGATATGAAACTCAGAGTTAGTTCATAGAGTACTGACTTTCT